TGTAAACGAGTGGGGTAATTGGAACAGTCCGTGCAAAACACACGGGATTTACCTATAAAAGTGTTTCTCATTTTCTATTCGTATTTTAAGTTATAATTAGACGATTCCTTAGCATAAATTATACACAGTTGTAGATAGACACTTTTATAGGTAAATCCCATGTGTTTTGCACGGACTGTTCCAATTACCTCACCCATTTACACGTACTGGTCTAATTCCCCACATGCGGGGAATTAGAACAGTCGAGACCGGTCAGCCGTAGATCTGCTGCTGATCCTGAAGGAAATGGAATTTAGAACAATGAAAATGACTATTCGACAGACAATTCCCTCCTCTACAACTCTTGCCAAGGAACTACCCAAAAATTTTCTTAAGCTAACTGAGAGAGAACGAAAATACGGAGATTTAAAGAAATACTGTTCTAATTATCCCACCCTACTTAAAATATGTCTTTTCAAAAAATAAAAAGAGTCAATATACACATAAGATTGATGAGGTTAATAAAAAAAGCTCCAGTTACCAATATGTTAGAACAGAGAAGAACAATTGTCAAACAAAGTCTGATTATCATTTAACTCTCTCAAAGTCAGCATTTAATAAATGAATTCGACATGCTGTCATTTGAAGTCACATATTCATAAGTTTTTAAACAGACATCTTGAGGAATATTTTCTTGAAAAAACTCAGTATCCTTCAAATTTCATGTTTCTTGCACTTCAACTTTCTAACAATTTATTGATAGATCATCAACGTCGAGGGTGATGTCAGTCGTAAAATATGCATAGTCGGTCTCAGCTTCTTCGGAAATATTGTGCATTTTAGACTAATCATCACTTCGAATAAATTTAATCAACAGTTGAATGAATAAATTCGGTTACATGAACAGGCGTAGAACATGTTCTCTTTTGATTAGGACACATCTTGAGCAACGGAATTTGCTGGAATATAAAAATGATTGTTATCTCTTTTACGTCGGGGTACTAAAAAAGAACCGATACAAAATCAATTATTGTGAAGCTTCTAAACTTGTACAAAAAGTGATTCGACTTACTTCTAAATTTTTGTACTACACAAATTATAATACCAGCAAATAAAGCTCCAAGAAAAAATGAACTTAAACTAATGATCATGATCCATATTTTCATATTATCAGTTATCGACGTAAAAAAAGAGCATTTTGTATGTACTAGAAAGAAAAAAAGAAACAATTTTACGATGCATCAAATGTCACGTCATCAGACTCATATACCAGCTGAGGTAGAATTTAAAGTTGCGAATGAAATATTGATTGTTTTTGATGTGAAATAATCCTTGATAATCGACGAAGTTGTAGTTGTTATAAGTCTGATACCGTCCAAACAATCTCGATTACATACCACTTTTTCAATATCTTCTGGTCTATCAAAAAATTTTGATTGCTCAAAGTTACTGTAAATCTGTTCTTCTGTACATTCTTTATATTGTCGACAAGACTAAATGACGAATAAAATGACGAAAATAAAGTAAACTATTTCTCAGAATAAAAACTTACATCACCACATTTTCGTATAATAAATTCAATAACTTGTAACTGAACATCATGCAGTGTAAATACAAATGTTTTGCTTCGTTTATTATTATTTTCGATTATATCAACACGAGGATTAGTACATCTAGATAAAAATATTAACTGTTATTTCATAAAATACGAAATATAATAACGGTTAAATATACGTACGTTTTAGTAATTAAATAATCATATGAATATCGAACAGCAGCACCCATACGTTTTGCCCATAGCACTTCAAACGATTCATTGACAGCTAAAAAGAAGAAAAACGAAAAAGTTTTCTTAAATTCCATCAATTTTATATTTAACAAAGAATTTACCTAATTGATCAGTGGTCAATGTAAATGTATATAACGGGTTAGTTGAATGTGATGGTGCTTGAATAACAGTTACAGTTGGGGAGATTAAAGTTCGCTGGAAGACAAAAAAGATAGTAAAACAATAAATTAACGATGGATACGAGTAATGAAGTACATACATTTATTTTACAATAAACACAAGCTCGTTCTCCATAGACCAGATTATCCTAAAGTAAGATCCTTATAAAAAAGATGAAGTTTAGATTCGGCTTGTCTCAAAGGATTTATTTTCTTTTTCTTATTACTTTTAGTCGGCTCACTAGAGTTGCCGATAAATAAGTATTACTAATTTTTTTCACATTACACTGGCCAACATTGGCTTTTAAAATATATTTATTGTGATTTAATGCTGGTGATCTTTGGCATAGATGTTCATTACTGTCCCATTGAATTTTAATATCCTAAACAAAATTAGTAAACAAAATTTTGATTGATTAAAAATAACAACAACTGTGTAAAGCTGATCTTACCGAATTTTCACTATAGAGAAATGTTAAATGTGTTTCATTACAAATAGTTTCAGTTGTTGAACCAAATGACATTGTTTCAATAGATGGACATGCATCATTTGTTGAACTTGAAGCAGTGCCTATAGAAAATAGTTTAGTATAGATAGACAATAGACAATTTTGAAAATGGAACACACCAAAACGTGTCATTGTTAATAAAAAAGTGATTGAACATTGGATAATTATTAAAACTTGTCGCATGAAAAAATTTGGCCACAAACTTTAGTAAACATGTAGTAAATTACTAAAACAAAATAAATATTATACCATCCATTGCAGATCTATCCATTAGGTCTACGCTAAAACAACAACTCATAATCCCCATTCAAGCATCTTAAACTTGTGTTAGACAAGCTTACTGGTAACCGTATGATAAAGTTAGTGTCTTCCATACGTTGAAACGCATGAAACAACATGGAATTTAAAATAACATGTAATAATTGATATGGAAAATTTGCCATACATTTCTACGTGTTGTTTGAATATTTAATACATAATGAGATATGGGTATCGGTAATTATTATGTTCAGAGTTATTTTCTAATAGATGTAGATCAGTGTGCACTACTTCACACGCATCTTCACACGTTGGAAGAAGTTTTTTTATTCATAATCATGTATCATTTATAATATTCATTCATGACCACGCATTTATTTTTATTTTTTTTAATGCATGGACACGCGTTATAAATAAATTCAATGTGCATAAAAAAATATAAGAAACAAAGTTCCCACACATAGGCTAGTGTGATTATAAAATATCAGATTTTTCTAAGAATTAGACTACACGTATGTAAATACTAGACAAGATAAGTAATAAAATAAGTTTGCAATATGACTATTCGTATAATCAAAAATAGGAAAATCTTGCCTCTGTTCTAGTTAAACAACAACATTACCTTTAATGAAAAAACCGAAGTTTCGAGTTCGTGATTTTCAACTCTTTACTATGTTGTACGTTAACTCACGATTTTATATTTGTACTCAAAATAAAAATACTATTAAATAATTAACATTTTTTGACATTGCTTTTGTTTCATTTTCTCTTTTTATGTATAAAATTAGTTTTAGAAAACTTTTTCTTTCTTCTGACAAATGTGAAAATACACAAACACAAACATACACACACATCTACTGTTTAACATCTATTTTATCATTTTAATTAATTAACTTTCTCTTATTATGTTCATGGGCACTATTATCATGATTATTATTATTCTAACCATTTGCACACATAATGCTGATGTACTTATTTTTATACTTTGACATTTTAACCATATAATACAATATGACCTAACTCTCGTTCTGCTCTTTTGCATGTTTGTTTCTCTCGGTGGACTAACGCCAAACATTACAAGATTATTTTTAGATTCTTCTTCATTTTTTCCTCTTCATTCTATTAAAATATAGGATAAACATCAAGCAATGTTTAAATTTGTCCTAAAGGAATTATTTCTTCTGTTTTATTTTTGTACTAATAAGCAGAAATAACTTCTATGTGCTTGTAAATAGTTTGATCACGAAGCGAAAAGACACAGAGAAAAAAAAAAAGAAACAATACCTATTAAGTGAAATGGGTAGTTTAATAGAAATTCTTAGATCTTTCAAATAACTTTTTTTAATTTTGTGATTGTCATATAACCTGGAAAATCTATAGCCAAGAATATGGGCTATCTATTTGAAACAATGACTATAACTTTCACAAAATAAGCCAACTCACAGTAGATTATTATACATTTTTTCTTAAATTATCTATCATCGAACTATTGCAGAAAACATATTGGACTCATTGGATATATTCAATAATCGTCGTTAAATCGAATGACATTTTTCGATTTTTATAAAATTTGTTTATTTGAAGATAATTAAGACTCGATGAAGAAGTGAAGTGTTAATATGTATTAAAAATTTCATTTTAATCGCAAGAGATTTTGATGCAGCGCCGCAGGAAAGTCAATAAGCCATTAGCTGGCAGAAAAAGCAAAACTGAGAAATAATCCAAAACAAACTTGCAGTACGTGTATCTTGCAGCTATGTTTATGGTTTTCCATAAAAATTATTACACAAATAGTATACCAAGTTTTGCATTTTATTTTATAATTCTGGATTCACCGTGGAAGTTTTGCAAAAAAAACAATCTTATACTTTTGTTGACAACAACTGTATTGAGCTAAAATTGATTATGACTTTCATTTACCTTGGAATTTAGTAAGAAAGGAGAAGAATAACAAAAAAACATTTATCTGAAAATAACAAAATAAATTTTAAAATATCTTATCAATTATTTCAAAAATAAAATGAGCAGCAAAGGTTCACACATAGTAGTTCGTGAATGACAAGTGATATTCTTTGTCATTTAGCAAAACGAATGTTTTGGGAAGAGTCACATGAGAATTAAATCTATCTCCAACAACATATCCAACAATGAGACGATTTATCCAAATCCACAAAAGAAAAAAAAATTTAAATTAAAAAAGATTTTTTGAACCATTTAAAGCAATGGTTATAAGATGTACGTGATAAACTTGTGCATTTATAGCATAATCGATTGAAATAAAATACCCTCTTAATCTATATAGCCCACAATTATTAGACGTATGGGACTTTTGAAAAATATCTAGTTTCGAAAATATTCTCGAGATATTCACGAAGAAAAATAAGTTATTAGTCAGTAAATGATATATAATTACTCTGATCATTTCCTTTTCTATAATCATGTTCATACTCCCATAGGTTATCATCATCATATGATTATTGTGTTTTTTCTTCTGCATTAGGCATACAATTTTAACATGAAAAAAAGGTTAAAACGTGAGAATCCATTAATTATTTAGCTTCCATAATACGAAAACGTTAACAAATTTAGGCGTCTAATTTATTTTTTAAGGCGTTTTCTCTATCAAACACATGTATCCCTACAGCACACTCGTTTCTACTTGAAAGTATCTTCTGATGTTTAGCAGGAGGAACTAAGACTTCTTCAACACAATTAGGTCATTAGAAGAGAGCTTTGTCATTGTACTCAATTCTTGTATGTATCATAATGGAAACGGAACTTCATCCAAATAGTTTAAAAATTTTAGTTGCGCGACTCATTTAGAGCATTTAGCACAGCTGTAGCGTTAATTAAATTTCCTTTTTGTCGTTTGTTAGATAATTATAAGTTTTATTGATAGGAAGTAGGTATCTATTATCAAGATAGACAATACCTCACTCGAAAAATATTTAGTACTTTTAGTTTTCTTATTTATGAAAGAAATAAAGATTATCTGCAGGGTTTCCGATTGTTCTCGGGATGGGAGGGGCTAAAAATTTTTTTTCACAGGAAGTGGCTGGCGAAAACAAAGTTTCTAAATTTTTGGTAGAAAATTGCTTGTGGAAAAACATCAAAGATTTTGTTGGAAAGTCCAAAAATACTTTTAGGGAGGGACCAGCCCCCTCCCCCTGATTGGGAAGCCTGATCATCTGTGTATAAACCTCAACATCATGAGTGGAAATAGAAACTGTTGTAGTAACACATATCATATAAAACAAATGTTTACATGTCTAAACAATCGTTGAAACTACTGTGATTATATTGCACAAAACCCATGCCTCAGTTTTATGTGAAAAACAAAGGATCAAACTATGTGCTTAAAATCAACAAGATTTCCAAAAGAATAAACGAGGCTAATACGAATATCAGAAAGAAATCTATTGAAAAATAACGATTTTTTTTTCTGACTAGTGCGAAATCAACATCGACAACCAAAATTTATGTAATTTAGCTCAATAGTCCGACTTATTTTCGTTCCACTGAATTGAAAACGGATAACAACCTTAAGAATAAAGCTTGAAAGCTTGGGTTGCATGTAGGTAATCGTGAAGAATTGTCTTGAATTGAATGCTGTAACACAATTACACAATACACACAAAACACAATACACAAAATGATCACAGAATAAAACAAATCATTACAGAATAGTATACCGTGAATCGATTATCATAGGAAGTAATAAAATCGCCATTGTAATAAAATGAACAGGACACTCCACGATTATTTTCATAAAAAATACTTAAGAACGTCTAAAGCTGTATATTTTATTAAAATAAATTTTTTAGGAATAAAAACCATGTTTCTTCGATTTACTATAGATGGCGCGGGTAGCTGAATACTAATTTTTTTTAAAAACTTACCATAATCTTAGCCATCTTTCTATTTTTTATCCAATTCTATATTCTCATTACTCTTCCTTACGCTATCATGATTCGAAATGCGTTCGTATTCCACCTCTAAACAGTTTTTTCTTCCTGTTTCTCTGCATCTACTACTGTATCGACTGAAATCACCTTCCAGAATCGGTTATCTATTTTTCTTTGTTCAAACCTGCATTATCAAATATTTTTCACAGTAACTTTTAGCCATGTTCTTAGCCAACTCTATCAATATTATTTTTCTTTTTTTCTTTTCATTTGTTGTCTTCTACTTTCTCTATGTCAGTTCTAGTGACGCACCCACAGGGAGGATTGTGGGAATCGATCCTCCCCCCCAAAAAAATTTTCGCTATCAATTTCTAAGGTCATTATAACAATGACCTTAGAAAAGACAACTCCTATTGAAAATCGATAAAAAGAAATTTGATACCCCTTCTCCGAAAATCCTGGCTGAGTCACTGATTCTTGGTTTTCTAATTTTGTTTACTATTCATAGCTTCAAGTTCTACTGTTTAGCTTGAGTCATTGTCATTATAGGTCGGGGACCTTTGATGACTCTCACTTTTCGTGAATAAACTTAACTTAACAAATTCTTTACATAACATACTTCTACCAATCTGACATAGTTTCGGAATTATTTTTTAGTTTTAAATTACTTTTGCATGGATTTCAGAGCAGGTGTTTGAAAGTTTAGGAACTGTCATATAGCCTATTTTTTCTTCTTTGATGAGAAATTCTAGTCTCTAGGCATTTGTAAGTAGCTTTATTATTGAGATAGTTGGACAGAAAATTTTGCATGCTGTTAAATTTCTTCGATTATAACAAATATTCTGAGATTTGTTCATGTGTTCAATAATCTTTCTTTAGCAGTATAAGAAAGTTGATTTATTGTTCAACATATCACCCTCTTCAATCAACCAAGAAGTTCGTACCAAGGGTCGTCGTGGAACGGGATGGGACAAAAATTACCTCCTACAGAAGAATATTTTCATCTTGTCCCGTCCCATCGTATGAACGATCGGAAAATTTCCATCCCGTCTTATGAGCTTCAAAACATTTTCGTCCCATCCCATCCCGTCTTATGAGTATTCAAAAATTTTCGTCCCATGAGATCCCATTAAAATGTTTTTTCTCAGAAACTATTTCTTGTTTAGCGAGTTTGTGCAGCAGTTGTTTTTCTATTTTCGACGTATGAAACTGTAAAAATCTACTGTTCCACATTACATTAAGTTACATTTATAAATCACTAGATTTTCGTCGTAAAAAGACAAGAGATAAGCTCACTTTGGTGTATTTTTTATGCGCAAAAGATTTACTCAGCTTAGGTTTCTCTTAATTATTTCATCGCTTGACTCGAAATGCTGACATTATTATACTATGGCTTGTTTTATGAATAATGAGACGTCTGCGCTAATAGAAGCTGAAGTCAGCGTTCGAACGTGGTTAAGGATTGCCTGTTTTACCAATCTAGAAACCTTGCAAATTTCGTGGGGGACGTATCACAAAAAAACTTAATGATAAGTCAAATTTAGACTGAAGTCTTCGTTATGTGCACTTACGCGTTAATTTTATACACTTAAGTCTGACTTAAGTCTAGACTTTGACTTGAGTGTTTTCGTGATACGACCTCCTGGCAACTAAATTTAACGAAATTTTCAGTACCGATCGGTACTATGATTTTATGACGCTTTTTTTTCATGATATCAACGGATGTTTTTCTTGATGCCGACATAATTTGACAGAAATACATGTGTTTACTTTAGAAACTTTAAAGATTTTTGTTTGAGCGAAGTCTTAAATGACATAAAGAAGAAAAATAATAATAAAATATTTCTTTACATTAGATTCCTAATTAGTTAATTTTGCATAGGATAAGATACAATGACAAATCATGGTAGTTTGTCGTCTTATTTCTGATTAAATACAGCTTCTCATGAAAGTATCGAGGACCTCCATTAAGAATGAAATCTTGCCTCTATCGGCTGATAATACTACACAAAAAAAGAATACTTCTTCCTATGAGTCCTAGTGCAAAGCTAACAATTAACAGAAATTATTAATCAAAGTTTCAGTTTCCTATATCTTACCGCATCTTTCTCCTTTGAGTCTTTCTCGTCCTTTTAATGTAAGTTATTACGGGAATAATGCAAAAGTACACTGCGGTTACCAAAACCAATAGGTTAAATAATTGAACTTATAATTGAATGTTCACACGAAGTACTATCCTTTTATTTTACTGTTTTTGTTAAGGTGATAACTAGTATTAAATGGAAAGCGCTTGTATATCCGTTACGCTTTTGTGATTTTTATTGTTGAAGTCATTTTTCGAACTAGGACGCTTGGCTCTTAAATATATTTGAAATCTGAGGGGTAAATCACATTCTATGTTCATTCACCTCAGAATAAGGGAAGAAGAGAAAGGTAAACTATAAACGGTTGTTCAGTAACATATAAATTTGCTGATAACATAAAAGTAGTTTTCCTAAAACGCAAAACTATTTTACATTCCCCTGCACTTGAGACCATGATCTCAATACGGAGCTTGAATTTTGTTCATACTTCCATATAGAAGGAAAGATAATTCTGTTTCCCTTAAAAAACATTGTTCTAAGGTACGATTTCGCTACCTTCATTAATATCTTTTCTATTTGCGTTCATTTTAGACTTAAGAATTTATCGGGAACTCGACGTACATTATGTCATCATTAACACGACTATCTCTTACATCGTCTTCGGCATTATGTCGTCTATCACAACTAATATCAAGTAAAAATAATTTAGTTTTTAATCGTTTACCTACCTTAAGTAGTGTCGTTCCATCGAACCCTCAACGTTCAATCCAAACATCAACCGTACGTTATGATATCGACAGTGCAGCGAAATATATTGGTGCTGGAGCAGCAACAGTTGGAGTAGCGGGAGCCGGAGCAGGTAAGCAAGATCAGAGAGAAAACTTTGATCGCATTTGTGTTTTTATTTGTTTGTGTAGGTATTGGAACAGTGTTTGGCTCATTAGTCGTTGGTTACGCAAGAAATCCAAGTTTAAAACAACAATTATTTTCCTATGCCATATTGGGATTTGCCCTATCTGAAGCTATGGGTCTATTTTGTCTTATGATGGCTTTCATGTTGTTATTTGCGTTTTAAAATCACTAGCATTAGTATTAATGAAATAAAAACTATTAACTAGTGTAATTCTTCTGCTTTCATGATCCATAATTATATTAGAATATCTTTCTCTATTTTTTCTGCTCTGTCCCTAACTAGCACCGGTTTTTCTTTGTCTCCGTGTTTTTCGTAACTTTTAAAACATCCACAGGATTGTTGGTTTTTTTTCTATAACCAGGTTTTTTCACCTAGATACTGCCAATGTTGTTTGTTTTACTCTGTTTTTTTTTGCATTTATAGCCGCATGCACCTTAATAATGATGATAAAATATCTTTTTGCTCTTGCTTTTTATACATTTAGCTTATATTCATAAAGGTGCGATAAATAAAACAACAACAACAGTAAAAAGAAACGTCTAGGGCAAACAACATCACCGAATGCATTCAAGAAATTCGATTTTACTCTCTATTTTGATGTGGTGAAAAAATTTCTAAAAGCCCTGAATAAACGATGATAGTGGCACTCATTTCAGTTGTAAAACTCATTGGATACTGTAAGTAACACTACTTTCGACTGTGTTTGTAGAAAAAACACGGTTTTATTCTGTTTACAGTCTTTTTTCTTTATGAAAGCAACATAAATGGATCATTTAATGGAAATGAATTTTGTTCGGGTAGAGTCAGATTACGCCAATTTATCTGTTGCTGTTCAGCATGATCAGCGGAGGCCGACTTTTCTTTTCTGGTGCATGTAATATCTACAGTCTGATTTTACATAGCTGCACGCTAATATGTGGCGACTGTAACAAAACATTCTCGTATTCGTGAATGAATAGCTAAATAATCTCGTCAATTGCCCGATACAGGCTTTGAACTAGCTTATAGGAAACCGCCAGTCAGTATAGCTTCTTCATGATCCATTATAAGTGTAATAATAATTATTCGTGAATCATAAGGTTAATTCTAATCACGTACGGAATTTTGAATTGAGAAAATATTACTTTTTTAGATTTCAAGATGAACTAGAAATAAACATATGTTCATGAGTCAATAATTAAAATTCCAAAGCAATAGGTCTGTCCTCTTTGAAAAATTGGCTTTGTTGCTAGATTTCAGAGGTTAAAAATAACTTTTTGTACTTGTATATATCTATTCCCGTAGTTGAATGAAGACTTATCGATTGGATTACAAATGTTCTTAAATCAGAATAGTCTGATAAAATCCTTGTCTTTTAAATCATTTCTCATCTTATAACTTTTTTATATCCGAACATAATGACTTATTTTTATAACGATATTCATGTAAAACAAATTCTGCAACAGATCTCAATTTGAAGGAAAAGCAGTTTGTGTTATCCAATGAAGCAAGTTTTTCTCACTCCATCATGAACTTATTTTTGCCAGTTCTTTGCAAATTTTAAATGGAAACTACGTTTAAAGTGGTATAGTACCTCTCTGCGCTCATAAACGATTATTTATTACGGCTCATAAGTTATTTTACTTTCCAGCGTAAGACTTTTTAGGAATGTTTTGATGATCATAAAGTGATGCTCGGATAGGATATTTTTATTGTATAATCCTACTTACGAGCGTATTGAAGTCGTAAATGATTGATTATATTTACCTGTAAATCGTCGTATATATGCCGACGTAATACGTTATCATATACGACGATCATAAAACAACGTTTACGATCGTGTCTTTTTGACCTGGGTACTTATCTGATCTTGAAAAATAATCAAATTTAAAAATGTTTTATTATACATATCAAGAACATGAGATAAAAACCTGTAGATGAAGGTTATAGACGTGAAAATGTTCAATGATGAAAGAATTACTCTAGGTCTGTTACGTAATGTAGAGAAAGCAATAAAAAAACACTTTTTTTAGGAGTGGATGCTCAATTGTGGGTTTTAATGTATATCGAAACATGTAGAATTAAGAATTTGATTAAAAAAAGTTTTTCTAACAAAAGATCTCATTTCATGTTTCCAATATATAAAGTAGCATCGACAATATCCGAAAATTAGTTTTAATGCACGAATAGCCGTGTCGACATCCGTTCCATCTTCATCAACATACATATCGTATTAGTTGTCACACAACAGTTTTACATAACATTTTTCAGCACGTATAAGCTTCATTCTATTAATTCCGCCATTTTTTTAACTTATGTTAGAAAAAAGTTATATCATTTATACATCCGTTGTGTTCGCGAAAACTGAGTAGAAATACATTCAGAAATAATTTCTAATATTACCTTAATTTTTTTATGCATATTTTTTTTCTATTAGTGACATCTTGGAGAATCTCTTCGACATTGTCACATTGGCAAGATTATCTACTGTATTGCACCCGCTTAAGAAGATTCGTCTTTTTCCAAATGCAATAGAAAAAAATCTGAGAGTTTATTGCACTTTTTTAATCCATAAAAGAGCTAAATGGTTAAAACATTATACTCAAACTAACACGATAAACATTTTAGAATTCACGACTAGTATACACATAGAACTCAAGAAACAAAACAATTAGCTAACTTTTTTTAATGAGTTTTCTAAACAAACAAGTGACATGATCAGTGGTAGGAGACTTTGTACATATTCATACTCGGTATTATTAAAATTAGTAACATTGTCTGTTCTAATAATGTTTAAGATTGTTGTTAATTCATCTATGCCAACTTTATCTTCTAAATATAAGCGTAGTTTTTGGCAAATATCATTGGTGGTAGCATTAACTCTGGAATGAAAAACAAGGATAATCACATTTCTATGGAAACGTGCTAAAAAACACCAGCATACTTCATCGATGAATACAAACAATTTAAACCATCTAAATAATCGTCTATTGTCAATACAGGCAAATTCATGTGATTTTTGGCTAATATTTTAGTATCATCATGTGTCAAACTATTGTTAACATTTACTTGAATATCAATATCGTTGGCGGTAGAAACTGCTATTGATGTTAAGGTCAGACCGTTCATTTCCTTACCAACATTAGCGCTTTTGTTGATCGATGGCATCAAAATCAGAAAAAAGAAAAAAGATTCTTTTCTCGAAAGAGACAATATCGTTGCATAAAAACCCTTCTAAAAGTGCATTATACAGAAGGCAGTGGCGTAAAAACTGGGTAGAGAGCACGAAGTTTCTCACCGCTTTAACAGAAACATGTTTCATTGTTCATGTAACGCAGTGTGTAAGTCATCAGAGTTATACATGACGAAACATTTCAAAAAATCAGAGATGAATGAGTACTTTTTGATAACCTTTCATCCATTCATTTATCGAGCATAAGGATGCAGATATTTTTTACTTATAGGCGAATTAATTGCAAAAAACGTTCTAGCCAAAGTGTGTGAACCACTATTCGAGCGTTCAGTAGAGTATTTAGAGAAATGAAGAAAAACCTCGTTAACTTTTCGGAAACCTTTTATTTTCCTGAGAGACAAAAACGAAGATCGAAAATCGGGTTCTGTTATGCCCTAGAAAATAGTGTTGGCTACATTTCAAGATCCCCCAACTTGAGATTTGTAGCACTTAAAATAGCGGAGAAATCTTGGAGTTACGCAATACTACACAACAAGGCAAAAATCGATGTAGAGGAATGAAAGAAAAGGAGAAAAGCAAAGTTTTAGATGCACTTAGAAAAATGCTTATAACTTTTGATAGGCCTATCGCACAGAGCTCAGCAACGTCTCATTTTGAAGAGAACACTTTGCTCTATATGAATAAGTGTTTAAAAAGATTTTGGCTGGTCTGCACACATGTGGACGAGCTTTAGAAAGTAAACAATGATGAATTAGGGTCTCCAGTGGCCAATATTAAAAAATTCATAACTTTTGAAAGAACAGCTGTACAACCAAATCCTTTGGAGGTTAAGACTAGAACCCCATATAGTATCTATCGGCAAAAGATCATCGAAATCGGAGGGTATTAGCTTGAGATCTTCTCTCGTTAGTTAATTCGAGCACTTAAGAATTTTATGAAGCACCCTCCTGGACTTAATATGACTCTGGATGTTTTAAGTAAATGCTTAATTTAAAACCATGTTCCATGGAATTAAGCCAAGCTGAAGTCAAAATGAAGCCTTGAAATTTTTGATGAAACACCAAGGATTAAGTCCGGAATAAAGTACTCACTTAAATATTAGATGTTAATCGTTTTAACCTAAATAGCAGCTCATATATTATGTAGTATTTCCGAGCGTTCAATATGAAGATGGGCCGTTCGTTTCTACCTGAGAGATATTGATAGTAGGCATTTATTGTCATTGTAGATCTCTCTGCGTTGTCAGAAGTTATCATATGACCTATCTGAATAACGATAATAAACGTTGTTGACTGGACAAATACTGAACCAATTAAAAGTTAAGATGGTCCTTTCGTACGATGCTTCGTCTGTTCCACATTTGGTGACAAAATATTACGACTAAAGAGGCTCATAGGTAGCAATTACGATCTTGACAAAATATTTTAATGGTGATTTGTACATATGCATACATAAACGTATATATCACACCTATGTACAAAAAGGACAACTTTGGTGTACATATCTTTGGCAAGCGATCAAATATACTTTTTAGATTTTATTCTCACACAAAAGCAATAGAACTTTTCCAGTAGAAAACGCGAAATGATACTGTATTGTTGTTATACATGATTTATTTAAGATTTTAGACATCTAAATGACTTTGATTCCGTTGTTACAGTTATATTGTTGATTAAACATTAGCTAATGTTAAAAGTAAGTATTTATCGTTTTCTCAGGCAATAGTAGTATACATCACTGGTAGGAAGAGGCATAAAAATTCTCATTTGTCTAAATATTCCTTTTTTGTAAACAAAATAAACAATTTGGTTTTCGTCCTAAACATTCTGCTCTTGATGCTTTGTTATTTCTATCTTTAACTGTTTCTAACCTTTGGAATGCTGGTGTGAAATGTGTTGATGTATCTTTTGATTTCTTTAAAGCATTCGACTCTGTTCTTCATCTTTTCTTGTTGGAAAAATTATCTCGTTATGGTCTAAATAGCTCTTTACTTTCCCTCTTAGCGTCTTACCTATCAAACCGTTCTCAGTGTGCGCGTGTGAATGATTCCATCTCTTCTCCTGCTCTTATTTGTTCTGGCGTTTCACAAGGTAGTGTACTTGACCCGCTTCTATTTCTTATTTATATAAATGATTTGCCTCTTTCTCTTCTACCTAACTGTGAAATCTCTCTCTTTGCCGATGATGTTTTCTTCTGATCTTTCTCATCTTCAAAACTGCATCAACTCTATCTCCAATTGGTCTTCCTCTAACCTCATATCTCTAAATGTGTCTAAATGTTTTTGGCTTCCTTTTTCTTTCCATCTCTTTCCTTTTGTTTATAATCAATTGTACTTAAATGCTGTTCCTTTTTCTGTTGTTTCCTCTGTTCGGTGTCTTGGTGTTCTTGTTTCGTATGATCTGAGGTGAAGCGAGTGTGTCAGGAACATGACTCTTGTTTGCCGGAGTAAGTTGGGTGCATTGAGCCGTATATTTGGATTAGCTCCATCAGCAGTTGGGCGTGGGATCTATATTATTTCTATTCTTCCTAAAATGGATTATTGTTGTGCCTTGTATGATAGTTCCTTTCCTCTCTCTATTCTTGACTCTGTGAATAAACGTGCTTCTCATGTTATTTCTTGTAATTTTGATTATCGGTTTTCTAGTTCTTTTCTTGTATCACAACTCTCTCTTCCAACCCTTTCTCTTCGCCGTAAATATTTTAACTTGTTCAGTTTAATTTAAAAGAGCTCTATCTCTACATCTCTTACAGTGAATTACAGTCATATTTCCAGTCAACCCATACCTGTGCTAGTTTTTCTTCTTTTAATTTTTATTTTACTTTTCTTTTTCTTTACTTTGTTTCATTTGTTTACTTGATCTGTCTCTGTCCATTACTCTAGTTTCCTTTTATCAACTTGTCTTACTGCTATTTTATTGGCTCGAGTCATTATTATTACAGATTGGGGATCTTTGGTAACTCTCAAATAGTCCTTCGCGAAAAAATAAATACTACTACTACTAAAAGCATGCTATTATGCAATTCGGATGTGCTATTAAGTCTAATGTTCAACAAACTGATTTATTCTTTATGAATCACTGCTTAATCATCCCAGATGAGCTAAAAAAGGTAGTCTAATTGGGTTAACAACATTTGAATTTTGCAGAAATAATCTCAGAATCCCAAACTTTAATATCAGTTGTTTGAACGATAGCCACTGTTTTCTTTTTAGTGAATTCCTTCGTTGTGGAGTACGATTACGCGGCTAAAAATAGTGATGAATTGTCCATTCATAAAGGAGATATTATTCACAATGCGATGCCTTGCGTTGATGATAATGGATGGATGAAAGGCGAATGTAATGGGAAAGTTGGGTAAATATTGTTGTCATGTTAATATCTTTGAATTAAAAATACTAATTCAATATTTTGTCTGTTATCTATTTTCCAGGGTTTTTCCAGAGAATTTTGTTGCTGTAAGAGATTTGTGCGGTTGAATGATGTTACATTTCTAATGTTATTTTACTTTAGCCATTTACAAAAGAGAAGGCAAAACATCGAACATTTATTAATGAACTTAATTCTAAAGTGTTACAGGCATCATCGGTGAATAATAATAATAGCAACAACAGTAACAAAGGCACATTACGAAAACGACTGAATGAGCGTTCTATAAGTCTTAATTCAAATAATACTAATATGAATGGTAAGTGAAACACCATTTAAGTGAAACAAGTATATAAATGATGTCAGCTTTTATTTGTACATAGTCTCACAATTTGAGACGACTAATTTCAATTAATTAAGAGTTGTTTTTACATGTTTAAGCACCAGCATTAGAAAAAAACTTGTGGTTCGAGATGCACGTTTCTTTATTGACTTTGGCGTAGATTGATATTAGCCTAGTACAAATTTAGTAGTCCAATCTACGTGTATAAACTTCAAAAAACTACTCTGTTTGTTTCTGATTTTGTTTTTCTTAACTCATTATCTATTTAGTTTCCCAATTGTCGAAAAATATACCAGCATGTTCTTAGGCAACAGATACTATGATACTGAAGCTTAAGCTTAAGGGAAGATATGAGATGAATATTTAAGTTACTAAACGTGTTGTAGAGCATTCAGCGGCAAGTAAATTATTTTTGAAAAGAAAATTGTTCTTAATGACCACACTCTTTTTATGTATTTATCGGATATTTGAGACTAAACTTATTTGCCCTAACTGATTGCTTACATCCGATTAAAACGATTTGTTCTTTACAAATGCATATATAGTCTATTGTTTGTTTTTTTTTCTTAGAAAAGTACGTATTTGCTTACTATTGCACGTTTTTTGCTTTGTAGTTTTCCTGAAATTAAAAGTTTTTTGCAATTCATTGCTTAATTTGCTATTTCACACAGCATTTATTACTACTGGGATATATAAATTTCTCGTTTTGTTGCCAGTAATTGCAAAAAATAAGAGGAACACAACAACAATAACCTATTTTAGTTCCGTTTTTTCTAAAAAGTACGTAAACATCTTTACCTGTTGTGTTTATTTTTAGTACAACCAGCACAACTAGAACCACCTACCCCATCACAGTCACAACAACCAGTTTTATTCACGGTTAAAGTTGTTTATGCTTATAATCCAGTACATCCAGATGAATTAACAATCAAGCCGAATGATATTATCAATGTTATACGTATAGTAAGTGGTGGTGCTGTAAAAGTACTAATGATTTAATATATAAAAATCATTGCTTTTAGGTAGAAGACGGATGGAATGAGGGCGAACTTAATGGCAAAATAGGTGTCTTTCCAACGAATTATGTTACTCGTATCAGCGATGAAGCCACAAGTATGTTCATCTTACATTTTTGTCCAGCAATACAGAATTTTCATTTTAGATTCGAAAACAAAAAAAGATCCCGTGAAGCGAAAAACTAATGGAATAAGCACTCTGGTTAACAAAGAGGTATTTTTTAAACATGAATCTTTTTTTTTTTAAGAAATAGTGTTTCCATCTCGCGCTCTTTCTCTTTCTTTAGATAATGAAACCATATATTCCTGTTACGCTATCATCACTGCCAACACAAACGCCTGTCACGCCAAGTCCACCATTGACAACAAAAAAGAATTCATTCTCAAATACACAAAATCCAGTAGTTAGAGCGCGTGTGTTATATGCATACAACCAATCAGCACCTGATGAATTAACATTGAATGTTGGCGATATTGTTAATGTATTGGAGAAAAATTTGGAAGATGACGGATGGTATGTATTTTTATACTGTATCACTAAGATTTGATTGTGCACTATAAAATGACAGCTTGGTAACAAATCATTGCATCATTGCATTTTTTTCGAAAATAGGTGGAGAGGAGAATTGAATGGCAAAGTAGGTGTTTTCCCCGATAATTATGTTGAGGAAATTGTAAGTACAAGTATTGTTATAATATAGCAACATTTTCTGATAACATAACATCTATTCAGATTCGAAAAGATCGTCCGAATACTCCTGAAACACAAAAATACGCGTCACAAACATTGCCGAAAACAAAAACAGGAAACGAAGGTATATTGAATAATTATTTGCTTTCAGTTTTATTAATTCTACTGTGAACTATTTTTGTTTCTAGATACAGTATTTAGAAATTCAAATGACACACAGGATCATATTACTGAACAAAAACCGCCATCAGTGCATGATCACTACGCTGAAATCAATAATTTGGATGCCATAACAAATACAGAAAAACTAAGTAACTTTTCAAAACCACGTCCATCATCATCGAAAAGACCACCATCGTCGACACGCCTTAGCAACAGATATGTAAGCAGAGTGTTTTCTCATTATTTACCGATAACTAACGGATCTATCTGCTTTGTACAGGAAAATGGTTATAACAAAAATGGGAGTTCATTCGATGACACATATCAAATCAATGATTCAAAAGTATAGAATATGAAATTACTAGTATTTTATCATATCTATATAGTGTTTTTCTTTTGTTTAGAAAGAGCGACCGTTACATTCTCCATCACCACCACAGTCTCAGAGAGGTAAATTATGGAATGTATTGAGCTTTTTTCTAGTGATTATTTACTTTAGATCCATCACAATTAGAATCTCCTCGTTCACGCGCTGATTTTAGCCGCACCTTAAGCAATCCTCATAGTGAAACGTCAAATCGTTCACTAAACAACAATCAGCGTGAAAACACTATTAGTTCTAATACGAACAATCCCTCAACATTATCGTCTACTCTAATGGACACCATGACCAATTCATCATACGTCAACACAACATCCTCATTACAGAATGAACAGTCTTTAAATCGATCACAACTTGAACAATTACAAAAAGATTTAGAACAAATGAAAATAACAATGGAACATATGAGAGCAAAATTTCATGACAAGATTTCGATATTAGTTAATGAATTAGATGACGAAAAAAAAGCCAGATCAAAATTGCAAATAGAACTAGAAAGAGTTCAAAGAACCATTAGTACGTCAGGACTTTTTGATAAAATTTTTTAACTTAAACTATGAGAAATTTGTGAATTAATGTCTTCCTTGCTTTGTCAACTATCTTTCACATGTCTTTCGGAGCAACCCAATCTGCGCAATTCATACCGTTCATATTTAGTAACTTTAACTCCAATTAAGCATTTAATTTTTTGTTTTTCAATAAATCCAATACTTCGCAATGAATTCTCTTTTCTAAATTTGTATTTAACGTTGTCTCTTCACTGATCTAGGATTTGTTAGCGGTACGAATATCTGTTCTTGTTTTTCTAATGAAATATGAACAACTTGCGAGTTAGATGAGATCCAGATTTGACTTTTTAAGAATTCGATAATATTTCGATTTCTTTGTTTATATATGTTGTAGTTATCTTGTATATTTGAGTAGTAATTAATATTTTATAAATACTTTTGTTGCTCTTCTTCATTTACATTCCTTATCCAATATGAGAAACATTTGTTTCTTATTATTATCAAGACAACATCTAGATTTCATCTACTGGTTTTTGAACAGTTTTTGTTGCTTGCTTTCCATCCTTGCTTGTTGTGTTAAAAAGCATTTTGTTATCAAATTTGTTTATATAGCTCTCATTTAGCTGTAGTGTGCAATTGGTGGGTTCAATTGAGTGCATTGAATTTTTTTGTGTATATAGAATTATTAACCTTAGTGTTTTTTGTTAACCTTGTGGTATTTAACTTCGTTCTCTTTTTGCTTATGAAGATGAATTAAATGACATGGATGCTTTTCCTTCTTTTTTTTTTATTTGCATGTGCGTTTGAGAAGTTTTTCCTGCATATCTTATTATACTTATTTATATTGGAGGGAAAAGCAGCAAAAATATTTCATACTGTTAGATTTGGTGTACAAAAGTATTTTTTTAACATTTTTATAATAAAAACATATTGTTATCATAAATAGGATAGGTAGATAGAAAACAATTTTGTTTACTATCGGTAATGAGAGTATGGAAATGAAATGATTATATCATGATAGAGTGACGTGATAGTTATTTTATAATAACCGAATCACGATCACTTATGAAATAGCATTATAAGCTTTTTTCACATAGTAGCACTCGACGGCATCTCTCAAAGCCAATGGTTTCATCTTTTCTGAGCTAATAATCGACGCTTTTGTACCAATAATCAATAATGTAAGAAAGTCGTAAACGAATAAAATCGTCAGGACTCCAACTGATTACCACCATCCGTATGAATGATTTCATTGATGATAAAGAGAAATATAATGTACATCAAACTTGCAAGATAAATATATTCTCCCACAATTTTTATATACTGCTGGTGCAAAAAGATATTCATATCCGTCAACAATATTTCCTGTGTCGTGCAATCAAGCTTAAATAGCCTTGAATAATGAAACTTCTAATATTTGTTTTGCAATCTTACTGAACTAGTCATTTTCTCTTCTCAAGTTCTCAGCTTTTATGTTTATTACAAAACTGAAGAATGTTTGGAACTATCCACTGAAAAAAATAATCAAAATTCATGCAAAATCTCGCAGGACTTTGCGCAGGATCCGCGGGTTATCGGTATTAAAATATCTGGCGATGTTTCTTACCTTTAGGCAGGATTTTTATACTGCCAGTCCTGACAGAACCCTGCATAGTTTATGTAGGGTCAGCATGAATAACATCCTGCGTAATGGTAAGAAACATCGCAAGACTTTTTGACTTATTCAATCCACAAGTTTTTTCCTACGAGATCTGGCAGAATCTTGTTGGTTGAAAGAAAAAGGATTTTGTTCTTCATGTCTATCCTGCGGTATCCAGCAATCTTTTCTCACCAATGTCTGTCTGGATGACCGAGCAGGAAGTTGTCTGTATTTTATTTTTTTTGGAAAGTTAAGTACTTTTTTCTTATAAAGTTATAAAAAATTTTCTCGTGTTCAATAAACTTCTAGAAAACGTATACCTTTATATTTTGACTTTAACACGCATTTTCATGTGTACAAAACCAAACTATTAATAGATAGCTGAAAAGATCTTTTTTATGTCAGGAATATTCTATTTTTTTTCCATCAATAAGACATTAAAGTCATTAGAATGATCACGCTACTGTGAAAAAAAGGTGTATAGCAAAGCAGAGATATCACACTATTCTAAATTTCTTCAGCTTTGAATGGTATCTTCTCATTTCGTCCCGTTTATTTTCTAGCATTCTATTCATTTTTTTCTATCAACTGTGTACTAATTAATAAGTCATTAGATAACGTAAGAAACTGATACGTGGATGATATATTCATACGTTGATACGTATCAATATGGACTAGTTCGTTTTTCTAAACCTGGATCAATAGCTATTTAATTTTAACGAAGTCATTTTGTATACTCCATGATAGAATTTAACTGTTTAATGGAAAAGCTTTTGCAAAGAAACAATACTCATGAATGAAACAATGTCAAGAATCTGACGAAACGAGAGGGTGAAAGTTTACAACAATTGTGATAATAAATTGAAGGAGTATTTTACACGATATGAAAATGGTACTTTGTCTGGAACTGAACTTCCAATTAAATGCATCAAATGTGTTAATACTTTAAAAATATCTGTTTCATTGTAACTCGTAAATAAAATAATAAATGTAACTTATAAAGCCATCTATCAATTTCTTACATTATCTTAATGAATTATACTAATATTGATTACTATACAGTTGATAGAAAAAAAATGAATAGTTATAAAATGACTAGAATGCTAGAAAATAAACGGAACGAAACAAGTATGGGACGAAATGAGAGTAACCCCTTTGAATACTCTGTTGAATGGTATATAATTTAAAAACTTCGGTAAAACATGGATAAGTTATAGTTAAAAATATTAAGGTATACATTTCCGGAAGTTTATTCGACAAGCATCTGCGAGATATATCGCATGAACGCATGTAAAAGTTCCTGCATGGTGTGCCTAGAGAAGAATCCTCCAGGATCCTGCAGAAAAGAAACTTGAAAAGTGAGCGTGTTAAAGAATCCTGCTCAATTATACTCACCAACTTGCAGGAAAATTTTCGGCGAGGTAACGTGATATAAAAACTTGCAGTATATATTCAACATTCACAAGATTTTTTCCGATTCCTGTGTGTCAACGCAGGAATTCGTAAATTTTTTTTCAGTGGGTAGGATCTACCTAGAACTGTCAACGTTTAGACACCATTAATTGAAAACGAACTAAGAACGTCTCTTTTTTTAATTTTTTACTTCCACTCCTTTTTTTATTAAGAGACTGCACATACGATGAAGCAATAAGAGAAGAGAAAACACAACAACACTAAAGTGTAGTACCAGTAGTACACAAGAAGTTCAACAAAGTATTGACGACGTACGAATTGTACTAAAAAAACAAATATGGGCTCCAATCTAACAAGAGAAGGAGAGAGAAACAATCAACGCAAAGTCAATTCATTCTTAAACACATACACATGTTCTACTTCAACTACAAAATTTTTAAGATATTTCATAACCGAGAATAAAAAACATCGATGACTTCGTTTTTCTTAGCAATTATCTATTAAAAAAACAAACAGTAGAACAGTATTTTTTTAAAAAACTGTGTATGCTAAGTATGTACAAAAAGAAAAACGCGTAACGATAATCTTAAAAACAAATAACATATGCGTGCTTGTAAACATGTTTTTCTCATAGAAAATGAGCACACACACACACTCACACACATAAACAAGATTGTATGAAAAAGACTTTTTGTGTTGTCCTAAAATAAATTATATTTTAATGTGATAACAATAAAAAAAACATGTAAGAAAGAAGAAGAAAGCAATGATGTTTCTATTATTTTTTCCCTTTTGGTGGTTGTGCAGTTGGTGCGCCAGGAGCACGTGGCGGAGTCAACGGACGACCAGAATTCAAACCACCATATTGATATTTTGCTTTCTTTTCGCTTGGTTTTAATATCTATACGAAAGAAAAACAAACAGATCAACGAAATAGTTTTGGGAGAAAGAAAAACAGAAGGATTATAAAATAAATTTACGTAAAAAATGTTCAAGAAGAGAATACTTTCACTCTTACCTGAAACGAACACATGAGTGTTTCATCAACGCTCATCATTCCACCAGCATTATCAAATTCACCACAATAATTTGGAGCCGAAAATAACGTCACTAACTGACGCTTTGCAAAAAATTCATATCCATCTTCCACAACCTAAGCGATGAAACAAGGATGAATGCGAATAATGATTAAGTGGTACAATCCAAGAGGTTTACCTGATGTGCACGGCAAATAAGATCCATATCATGTCGATTTAAGAACTAAAGAGGAAAAGAAAAGACAAACATGTGGTTAGACTAATTATATTAATTATATCATAGTATTTACTTAGGGTATACCAAAAGTAGTGGCAGTGACACTTTAATACCGTATAGTAGCCTCAAAGAAACTTTCTTTCTATATAGTCTCATAGAGAAAAGAATGCTCTATCTTTCTATACTATTTGATCATACTTCAACTAATATGATGATAATAAATTTTCGATAAGACTTTTTTCCTTAGTATTTGTGTTTGGTGTAAGTTCTGGGTTGCAGTTCGCAAATCGTTATTAGTTATTTCAACAACTAAAATATACCGCAAAATGCAGCGTGAAAAGCACTACAATTTACATAAGAACACTTATTTTATAGATGCATTTTTTATTTTCAAAATTGACAAAATTTTGAGCAATCAAGCTTCGGCGATGGAAAAGGTGACATTTGTAATACACAACGAATTCATTTTTGGTTATTTCATTGTTTCATCATGAATATACTTTATCAAAAGAAAAATAAAATATATCCCAAGATGCAGCATGAAGAACCCTACAACCAATAGTATAGAAGATAGAGCATTCTTTTCTCTATTGGACTATATAGAAAGAAAGTTTCTTTAAGTCTACTATACGGTATTAAAGTGTCACTGCCACTACTTTTGGTATACCCTAAGTACATAAACTACTGATTACCTTGCTAACAACATCTGCACCAAATGTAAATGAGACACCACGATCATTTTCACCCCATCCCTGAGTATCTTTATCTGGATCCGACCACAACAGATCGCATAATAAGCCTGAAATCAAGTTAATAATAAAAAATATTAGAAGATAATTAAAAGAAAACTGCTTATAATTACCAGTGTCGGGTACGTCTGTTGGTCTCATTATTCGTCGAATTTGCTCCATTGTTTGTAAATCAGGCGATAAACCTAGAACGAAAAATTGGAAACTGACGATTTTTATTGTTTTACGAGCGCGAATAATGTGTGTACCTCCATGACAACAGAAAATTTTCTCATCAATAATTGCTGCTATTGGTAAACAATTAAAACAATCCGTGAATGTTTTCCATAATTTAATATTGTATCGTCTTTTACCTAGAATGATGAAAGAAGAAATCTGCTCGTAAGTATCTGAACAACGCACAGCAAAATAAGGCTAATGTTACGTTGAAGGCTCATCATGTTCAAGTCAATGAAGTTCTGAAAGCCCTAAAAAAATCTGTGAATTGTTCTAGGATTTCATCATCTTTCTAAAGACCAAACTGATTTAATCTATTCAGGATTAGGAAAAATGTTCTAATATTTCTATTTCATCCAAATCGCAGACTAAACTCTATTTTTTTCTCTACTCAATATAAGATGTTGAATGACAACAATCACAAATTCTTTGTATGAGAGATAAAATACATTATTTTTAGATAAGTAACATGCAAAAAAACAAAACATTATCATACATTCATCATAAAAGCCATATATTCTGTTAATAGAAGCGCATTCATGATTCCCACGTAATAGGAAAAAATTTTCTGGATATTTAATTTTGTACGCTAATAATAGACATATGGTTTCTAATGATTGTTTTCCACGATCTACATAGTCACCCAAAAACAAATAATTGCTTTCTGGTGGAAATCCACCATATTCGAATAAACGTAAAAGATCGGTATATTGACCTAAGAGTAGAAAAAAGTGAAATACGATGATAACAAAAACTCAAATATAATTTTGAGATATTTTCGTACCATGAATATCCCCTAAAATAAAAAGAGAACAGATATTGTTATCGAATCATGTGATCAACAAAAGATAATATAAGATGACATACCGCATATCTTCAATGGTGCTTCAAGTTCAAGTAAAATTGGTTGGCTAAGAAATATTTCACGTGATTTTAAACACAAACCACGAACTTCTGCTTCTGTCATTTGAACAATTTTTCCTGGCCGACATCCTCGAACTAAAAAAAAGGAAAGAAATAGAGCAAATAAATCGTTTGATTTTCAATCTTTTTACAACTTGTTCTTACCCTCTAATAGCCGAGATATTAAACTTTCAACGTTAAGGTCCGGATCACCAGACATGTTTTGTTTTTGTGTTTGTTATGAAATTTGATTGATCGTGTGAAAGGTATTATAGTAATTTTTAGAGGATTTTTATTTAGTTATCGGACACAAAGAAAAGAACCAAATAAAACACAACAACGGCCAGGTAGCACCCGTGATGAAAGAGAATATAAGAGAAAAAATCCTATATACTAAAAACACCAGAAAAGAGGATGTTAATTTGTAACGGCATATATATATACACACAAACACTCCTTTTTCCTTTTGGTAAACAATAATTCTTTCTCTCCTTTTGTGATCTAAATGAGTAGTGTATCTCTAAATGTGTGTTATTATATGTGTGTTTAATACAGCTTCTTCCCTAATACATAAGCTCTTTTCTTTCTTCTCTATTTTTCTTTTTTGCATCAAACACTATGGTAACTCTCTTCTGTACATCGACACTAATCAATCGGTGATATGTTGAACGAGAACAAAAACGAAGAAAAATTTCTCCAGCATTTCATTCGTTTTCTTTCTTTTTTCTTATAAGGTGAGGACAAGGAATATAAGAATTAAATAAGTCAATGAGTGAAAATAAAAAAATAAAATTAAAGAAACAAATAAACAGCAGTTGCTCGACCACCCTCAATGCATAGCTGATTTATTTGTTAACATCGATGTGGTTTACACAGTCCTACGTAGAAAATTTTCAGAAGACAATAAGCAATTCTAAGAAACTAACTAAAACATGAGATTTTACATTTTTTTGTCATCCAATGAATCATTGCTTTCTAAAACTCAATGATTCATACTACATATCTCTTGAACTCATAATGAAATACAGTTAACGTATGGCTACGTTCAATCAATCAGATGTCAAGAGACAAGAAATACATCTGTTTTATGTAGGAATTTTTTGTTTTTCAATTTCCCTTGTCTACCAAAAATGGTAGGTTTCATGGCAATATTTTGATCAGTTTATGCTCTGTATTTTTCTTCGTCATAGATGAATTCGTGGTGACGCTAGAGGGTTGCATAATATTCTAAGCGAAGGTCGCAATTTCTGGTATACTCCAATATTTTCCAAGGGCATATTACTATACTTGACGCGAAACATACGTAATTTCATTTATTTATTGATAGTTTCTTATTTTTATAAATCATACAGACACTCAGATTTGTGTCTATGAAGATGTGTTTTATTTAGCATTTAATTAAATAGTCTTAACCATTGTCATTAGAGGCCGTTATTTTTGCAAAATAATTGAGAAACATCTGACGTCTATTTATTGAGAATCACGTTGCAGATTACCTTTTTTGTAGATTTATTATTGTACTTATTTGCTGAACTTAGAATATCGACAATAATGTCCGGACGTGAAGGTGGCAAGAAGAAACCATTGAAGCAACCGAAAAAAGACAAGCAAGAGTTAGATGATGATGATAAAGAGTTCAAAGAAAAACAAAAATTAGAGAAACAAAAATTAGCAGATGCAGCAAAAAAAGCATCCGGAAAAGGCCCATTGAAATTGAGTTAGTTAATACAGGATGATAGATGGATGCTACATGTTCGTTGACACACAACAACACACAGACATTTAATAACATACATTTTTTCTGTTATTATTGTATATCTTCTGTATGATGTACATTTTGTTAAATAAAGTCACGGTTTTTTAAGAAATAACAATGGTTGGAGGATATACTGAAGTGCCTAGATTGTTGGAGAATAGAGTTAATACTTCCATTTCTCTTGAGTACCAGATGCCTATTGCTTTATTGACTGGAAGTGTTGTCAAATTTTAAGAGACTGAAGAGTAATTGTTGAAACGATAGTTGTTTTTGAAACGATAGTTGTTTTTGAAACGATAGCAATTTCCAGAGTATATCAATCTTGACTCTAAATTAAACGTCATTCCTAGTAGGAGGCTCGGTAACTCTCTAATGTTTTCTTTTCACAGTTTAAATAATTCTTCAAGTTTTCCTTTATCCAGTGCCGCAATATAGCTAAGCTTTTAGAAGTGCCGATCGTAGAAGCAAACGGTGAGTTTAGATAGAATATCGGTTCAAAGTACATGAGTCGTTTTCATATGTTTGGTTATCTTCTTAATAAATGAATGACGCTATGAAAATATTCGATTCAGTTTGGTCGATGGAATCTAAAACCTATTAGCAGAGCCGCAGACAGAGGATGAGGACTGGTCCTTCCCTTCAACTTCTGAAAAAATGTTTGTTTTCGCGCTGAATCATCTGTGTTTTTGTGGTGGTAGGAGAAAAAGAGAAAAGAGATTTCTTTTCCTCTAACATTACATGAATTTTTTGTACAACACTTTTACGCTGAATCAGAAAAAAAATTTCATACTATCTCTGAAGGCAAAAAAAATCGGTCGTTCCCCCTTCGCAAAAATCCTGGCTATGCGCCTGCCTATTAGAATTCTTGATGTCTCACGATAATCCTCTTTCTCCTTTAGATATCTATAAAATTCTGTATATTCTTTTAATGATAAGTCGTTATCGTATAAGTTGGATTCGTGAACGGCTTGGACCAATATTTGTTGGAGTTGGATTAATAGGTGGAATTCATCTTGCCTGGTGGAGTATTCAACAGAATCCAAGTCTCGTACCTCTAGATCAACGTCGAGAAAAGGTAACTTCAATTCAAATTGTTAATACACGCTATTTCTCGAAGTATGGGAAGTTTCTCTCAAACAACAGGTCTTTGTTTCAAGTCAGCTGGAAAACTGTTCTCTTCAGTTAGCCTCGATGCTTTAAATCGAACAATGATATCATGCCGATCTTTTTCTATTCTAGATTTTGGGCATCCCAGTCTATTATATTGACCGAAAAGAGAATCCTAGAACTAAAGAAAGACGTCTTATAGCAGAACTGAAAGAGAAGAAAGCTGAAATCGAATAAAACAACAGCAATTCCGATTATTTATTATTAAACAATTGCAAATACGTGTAATAAATTAGCATCAGTTACATTTCGGTCATTTATCTTTACGTTTGGTTTGTCCTATATCGGCGTTAAAATTTGTGCATCAGTTGATTTTATCCATTGCCAACATAGCTGGCTTAAATCGAGCACATACAAGAACATTACTATCAAAGTAAATCCTAAATGGGTTTAATTCGAAAAACACTCATTCTTCCAAAAATTTTTGTGGAATGGTTATTTTTCGAATGTCCTCAAGTCTCTGTCAATGGTTTTATTTTATATTGTGCTAGTTTACATTATGGTCAAAAATATAATTGGTCTGGCAGACTAAACGATTGTTTTTGGAAGCAGGAGTAAGATGATTGTACTGCATTTTTGAGATTATATGCTAACTGTAAAAGGACAGATCGAAAATAGCGCTAGAAAAGACTAGAGTTGGGTTCGTCATTATAAAGCGAGGTGTATTAACAAGTGTGACAGACATTGTCGATGATCTATCGCAAATTAATCATCATTATATTTATTATATTTTAGAAAATACATTTCTGACATAGTGGATTCTTATGATGATTTATTGTTTTCAAAATTAGGTCTTAGTTGTTAGTGTGATGTCATTATCCTCGTCGTCTCCTATTACCCAGTTTTGGACAAATACACAATATGAACTTGTGTCTAAATTATTGACATTTTTTTCGTCTTCCTATGGTGCTATGGGTCATTTAAAAATGATTCAAACACATGATTCCTCCACCAGTATCCTAACTTCTCTAAGCTCACGTTTTCAACATACAATGGCGTATAAAAAATTGTTTTCTAATATACTATTTGCTGCTGTACGTAAACAATCGCAAACATATTTTGATTCGGGTTTGTATTTTGCAATGATTTTTTGTAATTTTTTATTACAAGTAAACGAACACGTTTGCCTCCATTTAAAAAATAAAGTTTTAGAACAGTGTATAGAGTGTATTGATCAAATTGATGAGCTTGACTGGTTAGAAATTGAATTTGATTCTGTTCATACCATGTTGGCTATTGTACGAAGTGTACTATGTAAACCATTAGCATATGATTGTTCGCAAACATTACGAGAACAATTATGTTTACTTTGTGTTAAAACATATCTTGAACATATTAATATTGATAACGAGAAAAATAATCAACAACAACTTATACTAACAATTGAAGGACTCAATACAGACGAATCAAATTTGTATGAAGGTCTACTTTATCAAATACCCGAAAATTCATATAAACAATGTTTTACAATAACAACATCAAAACCATGTCTATTTTTCACTATATCATTAGCCGGTGATTATATAATAGAGAATGCCAGTTTAATTGAAACAAACTGTACCCCTAGTGAGTGGATTAAGAAAACAGCTGATACAATTATTAATAATATTATTAAATTCAAAAATCTACACAATGGTGGTATTATCCTTTGCCAAAAAGTATGTTGAGAGTGTCTCGTAGTTTTAAGTGTATAATCTATCAGTAGACTAACTGTAGGTGTAGAACTCTTTGTATAATATAGGATATTTCTTGAAAAAGATTAATTATTATTCTAGGTCATTCATCCATCTGTTCGTGTCCAGTTGAAGCGATATGGTATATATACGTTCGATCGTCTTTCCCGATCCTATACGCCTTATTTTTGTTATTTAACAGGTATAACTACCGAATATTCTATGATACATAAAAAAAAACTAAATTTTTTTTATTTTCTTCAGGTTGTCAACCAATTAGCACACTGAATTTTGATACGAATGATAACCGTTATTTTGGCTCTTTATCAAATATTTCAATAATAAATATACAAAATAAAACATTCCTTCAATTTTCCAATATTAAGCGTCTTTTTCACACGTTATTATTGTGCTCTAACAATGAACAGTCACTTTTAGAATTGAAAGTAAGTCCTACTATTTGACATTTTTCTCTGTCCAGCTCAACTGAAGTACAATTGTTTATTTAAGGAATGTGTAAAAGCTAGTCATCATTTACTCAATAGTACATTGATAACAAAGAAAGCTTTATTTGGAGGTGGTTGTAGTGAAAGTTGTCGTATACTTTATTTGAGAAAATATGTACGTATCTATCTACTCGACTCATTTTTATCGATGTAAAGGATCTTTTTTTCTCACTTATACAGATTACAATAACAAACGATCCGGACATAACACTGTTCACCCGTTTAGCTGTCCGTTGTATAGCAAATTGTTTAATTCGAGTTATTCGTTCACAATATCGATCGGAATGTGTTGTTATCGATTGTATTCATGGTCATTTATGGCATTCAACAGATACAGGGATTAGTTCGACATGTAAATGTGGATTATATTCATCAACAATTGACTTCGAGAATAACTGGAATTTAATAGCGTTTTCTCTTGATGATTTTGAAATTGATATATTTCCAAAAACAGACCTTGATCAAAAGACTTATGTTAAACGAGAGAAATGCCCAAAACTTTTAGATGGTTATAATGCGCGTAAAAATGCTTTTCGAAACGCAATAGAGTCAGCTGTTAACTTATATTTGACAAATATTTGTATTGGGAATATTTAAAATACAAACAAGAATCAGATGTTCTCAGTCGTTTGTGTGTTTTGTCTATTTATTGAATTTTGGCCATTTTTCTTTTTTTTCTTCAGAATATGTTAAAAATCACAATTATTTTGCATAAAAATAATAAATTTATACTTTTGTAATCAGATCTGAGTGACCGCCGAACAATGGTGACATCATATTAGCGTTGCCAAAATCATAAATCTTCTAATTGTCATTATCGTATACACACATCGAATTCTACTAGTGAATGATATTATCTTATAATACAATATTTTCATGAAACTTCTCCTAGTAGAGTTACGTCACATTACATTATAAAAAAAAAGATACCTTTTTTTTGCAAACTCACACTCAGTTTTTAATATCCTCTCTGATATTGTTTGATCTTACAAAGTCAATTAGGACAAATTTGTATCTCTTTTGAGAAGCTTCGGTGTTTTACTCTTAGTATAATTACATATATGTCTACAATTTATTTTCTAATCGGATTAAAACATTAAAAAGGATAAAACACCTAATTATTACAGTTTATAAAATAGCGGATAATATGTCTATTTATCTGTTTATAAGTTACTGTTTTTGATGATTGACGCGGTTCCGCGTTAAATAAATAAATAAATAAATAAATAAATAAATAAATGATTGATGATGTGATGTATGATCTTTCAAATATGATTTGCATGACGAACACAAATGTATTTGATAGATTAAGCCAGAGATGGGCGAGTCACCACTTTTTCGAGTCTGAGTCGAGCCCGAGTCAGTAGCGTTCGAGTCGAGATCCGAGTCGCATCAAAAATTGACCGGAGTCACTTCGAGTCATTTTCTAGAGGAAAACTTCCTTCTGATTCATTTTTCAAACAACAGGTTATCAATCTCAGTTTATCAAGTCTTTCACCTCGAGTCCAAGTCATAGAGTGCTGCCATAATACAGAATGTATCCGCATACTGTGTACATCCGCCTCGCACGCGCACATGTATCTATAACCTCGACCAAGAGCCTCTAAAAGGATTCTCATCTATATGTATATTTATGAATGTCTGGCATTCTCGGATTTTGGGATTTTACTCGATACAGAGTCTGTATTCGTACGCATATACAACCGTGTGTATAAGAATGACAGAGACTCATAAAACATAAATGTCCAGCTACTGAAGGAAATGTTTCCTTGTAACTCCTTCCTATCCTACTACCCACCAACCACGCTACCACCCTCACGGATATAGACTCTGTATCGAGTAAAATACCACAATCTCAGAATCCCAACATTCGTATATACACCCATATGTCAATATAAATGTATTGATTTGGTTACGAGCTTAGATATTAACTGCCAGCCTGGGTCATTTATGATCCGTACTCAAAAATTTGGAAATATACTAGAAATATTTTGTTATTTCTCGGTTTTTAGAATGAAATAGCATCTTTTGCGAATTAATATATGCTGTTGAATCTAAAAAATGATTCATTTGTTTTTTTTAATATCATTACAAGTCTTTGGTACAGTACCATGTCTTTAGTATGCAAGAAACATGTGACAAGAAAGGAAATAAGTTAAATTTTCAATCCATAATCCAATGACTCATTTACTATTCTAACTGGATATTTCCAATCCCTTCAAAAACATTTGTTTTGGAGTGATTTCGAGCTATTCAATTGAGATAGTAGATGATTCATTCAATTGTAGATGAAAGATGTGTTTTGTCTCTCTTTCTTTTTATATAGATATATATTCAGTAATGAGATCATAATATCACATCGGAGGCGATGAATTTTTTTACATATTCAACTTTATATACCAGTTTATTGTTTTACTCGATGCTGGTTTATATAGTGTGTCTACGTTTACTTTTCATTTATAGATTGAAACTTCCTTTTCTCATACAATTGGAATAAAACTGTTTTGAATATTATAAAAACGATTATGAAAAACAATTATTTTTATTAGATGGTATATGAAAACAACATATTTTCTTATAGAACATTGATGCAAGAGTAAAAAAATCATTCTAGAAAAACATATGTTGTCAGTATAGTGTTTAAAAGAGGCTGGTAGTACTAGGGTTAACGAATTGAATAACGATATGTAAGTTATATGTACTGAATTTGTATGTACATGCTCGATAGATGAATACATGTATGATCCGTATTAGTGCATCAGGGCCTGTAGACCTAGTAGATACAGTGACTGTATCCACTGTATTACAGTCTGTAGCCATATTATGACACCTCTAGAGTCATGGAAAATGCGACTCGAGTCGACTCGGACTCGCCCATCTCTGGTATAAGTGTGGAATAATAATTTCAAATTTCTATCAAAATATTATTGGACAAATAACCGCATAAAACCTAACATTATTACGGAATTTAATAACATTTGCATTAAACTTATTTCTAACTGTCTCTGGTTGCTATTCTATTTCTTGTCTCTTAGTTAGGGCGTTTGTTATTTCATAGTGCAGAACTTTCGTAGACCCGTTGATCTGGTGTCAGTCACAGCACCATGCATTGATAGAAGCGCAAAATGTGGAAAAAATTTAAAAACTACTGTATCCAACGCAAACTTATTAAACAGAAGTCAAGGATCA